GCATGCACCACCACATCTGGATAAAATTTTTTTCAAACAATGTTTCACTATGCAGTCCATATTAGCCTTGGACTCGCTCTGTAGCCCAGGCTGGCCTCCAACTCATGGCGATCCTCCTGCTTCAGCCTCTCAGGTGCTAGGATTACAGGCATGTACCACCACACCTGGCTGTCACACTTTATTTGGGGGATAAAACACTAATTTATTTAAGAAATCAATTAAAAAACAAGAAAGTAATTTACAAAGACATCATTGATACTAATTTAAAGAAAAGGTGGTAAGACATAAGTATCCCATCATTTTCATCCCTAGTTTAAATAGTTTTCGATTTATGAAAGCAATGATCAATGTCTACAGAAATAAAGCCTATTCCTGAACAATTTAAAAAGATGTAAAAAGAGGAGGAAGAGAGTGAAGCTCTGATAGGCTGCCAACGTGCTGTGGGAATGAAGTCCAGGCCAACTCACTGTGCTGCAGTCACTGCCGACGCAGATGCTGGATGGTACTCACAACCGAGGACCTGTGTGAAGAGGAGCTAGTGTCTGCCCAGACCCGCGCCAGGACAACGTGTGCATTGTCACAAGCTCCTTTTTTTTTTTTTCTGGTACCAGGGATTGAACTCAGGATCCTGAGCTTGCCAAGCAGGTGCTTATTCTACTGAGCTATCTCCCCGGCCCTTGTCCCAACCTCTTGGTTCATTTGCTCTTCGGTTCTTACAGTTTCAGTTTAACATTCGGACATTTTCTGCAACACAAATTTGACAAAAGCATTATGTTTCTTAGGGAAATAGCTTCCGTGGAACATAAAATAGTCTGTTATGCAAAAGCAATAGCAGCTGGTGGAGTTTATAGAAAGTAGCAGAGCCCAAAGTGGTGAATTATAAACATGCTTATGTTTAAAGCAAGCACCGACATAAAAGAGGCAACAGAACACAGAGCATGCTTCTCTTTTTTTCTAGAAATATGCACAGGACTGGGGAGATAGCTCAGCAGTCTAAGCACCTGCCTGGCAAGCACAAGGACCCAGGTTTTATTCCTGGTACTGCATGCCATATTGGCCCCTAAATCCTGGGTGCACTGTGCCAGTCACTGAAACCGGGCATTGGTGGTGCACGCCTGCAATCCCTGCGCTGGGGAGGGTGAGAGGGGAGGATCACTACGAGTCTGATCTGTGTAGCGAGACCCTGTACCAAATAAATAAAAGATTTAAAACAAATATGCACAATGTCAAGGAAACTGCAGCATGATTAGAAGATCCAGAAAATTCTAGCCCAAGGCCCTGCTTTCCTCTCCCTCTTTAGGCATCAGATTTAGAGGTTGAGAGAATTCTGTCATTGTGGCATGTATCATGCTTTGCATTAGCTTTTCCCGTTCTTCTTCTTCATCCTTGCACCCACACCCTTTTCTCTCTATTTCATAGGCTCCAAGAGCAGCATGTTTGGTGTACATCCTTGGATTTGCAAGCATCTTTGAAAAATAAAGTGCTGTTCTTTGTGAGTTGAAGCTGAGAACTTTCCTTAATAGTACAATAATCAATTATAGTGTCAACTTGAAGAAGAAATGCCTAGCAGACTGCCTGAGCAGTTCTTGTAGATGTGTCTGGATAACTGATTTGCTGAGGAAGGAAGACCCATCCCTGGGTATTGGTGGCACCAGTCAATGGGCTTGCAGCTTGGATGGAATAAAAAGGGAAAGAAAGAGGTCTTGCTTCTGCTTCTTTGTCCTCGCCTTTGGCATCCATCTCTGGGCTTCCAGTGCAAACACTTTGGCTTCTGGGTACAGACTTGCACAGGACTGTGCAGTAAGCTCCAGGCCTTTGGCTTTTGGCAGAGTCCTCTGGAGTTACAGCTTACAGAAAGCTCTTTTACATTCTTCCACCCCTGAGGCTGCAGGAGGCCATAGTAAGTATGCCTTGTACATTTCTTATGAATATTCTATTACATTTGTTCCTGTTAATAAATCCCTGATAGAAATAGAATTATACTACATATTTCAAATATATTTATCTTTGTAATCATTCTTTAGATTTTTAAACTCTACCCATTGTTGTATGAAGTTTCCTTTTTTTCCTCTCTCTCTCTCTCCCTTCCTTCCTTCCTTCCTTCCTTCCTTTTAGTACCCAGGGGCTTTACACTGAGCTATATCTCCAGCGCTGTTTATTTTGAAACAAGATCTTGCTAAGTTGCTCATGCTGGGCTTAAACTTGTGATCCTCCTGCCTCAGGCTCCTAGAGTGGTAAGATTACAAGTGTACACAACTATACCTAGCCTGATTCATTCTTTCCTGACAGTAGCAGAATATTCCAGAGTTTTGTTCCATTACATTTTACTTCTCCATTTCCAGAGTGACAAACTTTTTTACATTGACTAAATCTCTTCTGTCCTAAGCAGCGTTGTGATGACATCTTTGTGTGTGCACCTTCTTGAGGATCTGAGTGAGTAGTTTCAGGGAAGGTGACATGGACTGATAGGTCATTTAAACTGTACATACTTACTCTCACTGGATTGTTGTTTTCAGAATGGCTGTAGAGTCTATTTTCCAACCTGGGAAATAGTGTTCTGGATCTTCTATCACAGATGAGGATTGAACAGTAAAGGAGGGCTGTTCTTGACCACATCCTCACTACCATTTGATATTACCCCTTAACTTGTAGGAATATTGCCCTAGGGTTGAATTTGTGTTTTTCTAATCACTTGTGGTTTTAGATCTTTTCATGTAATTGCTAGGGTTTGGGCTTCCCTTTCTGGCAACCTCATTACTCTTAATTTCTACTGAATAAGTGTGCATTTTCTTCTTGTTGGTCTACTACAGTGATTTGAGTAGTTTTGTACTGACCAATATGGTAGCCACTAGTCACAAATGACTATTTAAATTTAAATTAGTATTAACATTAATTAAAATTTTAAAATTCACCTTCTCAGTTGCACCATCTTCAGTTCAAATGTTCAGTACCCTAATGTGGCTGTATGTTATTCAGCTTTCTGTTGCCATAACAAATACCTCAGATGAATCAACTATACAGGAGAGAAGGTTGATTTGGCCTTATGGTGCCAAAGGTTTTATGCCATGGTAGGTTCACCTATTGCTTTGGCACTGGTGGCAAGACAGAATATAACAGTGGGGAGCAAATTATAGGGCAGGCTGCTCCCTCAAGATAGCAGAGAAGGAGAGGGGTCCCAGTGTCACCCTTCAAAGAGCAACCCAACAGCCTAACTTTCTCCCACTGTCCCCATCTCCTAAGGGCTCTACCACCTACTAGAACACCACAGGCTGGTGAGCAAGTCCTTGGCACAGAGGCCCTTGATGGACACTTAGGATCCGAGCTGTATCAGGCTACCATGCTGGAGACCATAGATAGAGAATATTTCCAACACCACGAAAAGTTCTTCGGGACAGTGCTACTAAATGTTAATCTTCATCAATTTTTTTGGTTTCGAAAATATCTTCTCTCCAGTGATCGCCCAACTCTAAATCTTCCTATCATATCACTTGTATGAATTCACCCATCTATTTTTAATCTTCTTAGAGCATCTTAAGAAGTCATTCCCCAGGCCCAGGTAGTACAGGAGTACACATTCTGCTAATCACTTTGTAGTTTAACATTCACATTCAGGTTATCTTTTTGGAAGTTGTCTTTATAGAGAGGATATGTATCAACTTTATTTTTCTGTGTATAAATAAATAAATGTATATAAATGAATAAATATGTTAAATGTATAATATATAAATGCATGATATATAAAATGCATATACATATATTAAATGTATAAATGTATTTTTCAAATATTATATGTTAAATAATCCATCCTTTTCCTGTTGATTTGTGTGTTTCCATCAAGTAACAAATTCCTAGGCATACCTGTGTCTATTCTGAGTCTCATCTATCCTATTCTATTCCATCCCATCTCTTATCCTGCTGTGTCCTACCCTCTTCCAGCCTGTTTGTTTAGATGGTGCCACATGGACATTGATTTTTTTTTCTTTGTTGTTGTTGTTACTTACTTATTTCTAGAAAGCTGGGCTAGGGAGATGGTTCAGTGGAATAAGTGCTTCCCTGGCAAGCGCAAGGGCTTGAGTTCAATCCCTGGTTCCACCATAAAAAACAACAACAAAACTTATTTCTAGAAAACTAAGTCTGTCCTTAAAACAGACTGAGATTGTCCTAATAATATTTTATTTACTTAATTTTTTTACAGTTTTTACAAATATTTATTTTAATGAAGTTGGTACGCACATGTCTATTTAAAACCCATATCCCAGGCCAAAAAGTACAAACAAAATCAAAAGGAGCAGTGTTCTGTTATATGTACATCTGCGTGAGTAACTTTATTAATTTTGAATGAAAATTAACTTTTCTGGGATCTTGTGACAAGATTTTTTGAATCTTAAGACCACTTTCTGTTTAGGGAAGCCACCCTTGGAGCTGCTTGGACTCTCACCACGGCTGTCGTCTGGACTTCAGAGCTCATCTTCCTCTTCTTTTTTGGTCCAGACTCTCAGGTTTTAAGCTTCAAGTTAAAGAAAAGTCATTTTTCCACAGTGCGGGTCTCTGAAAAGCTTCCACCTCCCACTGAAAGTTACAGTCCAGGAGTGAAGCAGTCACAAGCTTGGACTTCAGGTCGACCTTGCGATCTCAAGCCTGCGAATGCAGTCCTGAAATCTGCGGCCTCTCCATGCATACCGGTAATTGTCTTTTCTTTTTTCTTTCTTTCTTT